TTTTTTTTTTTTTTTAAATTTAAAATATGTGCATAATCGTTATCAGATAGAATGTTGACTTATGTAGACACAATGAAAGTAAACTTGACAATTATTTATAGAAAAAAAAAAAAAAAGGTTTATGAATAGAAGATCAGGATTTAGCAGGTTTACTGTAACAGAAAATCATGTTCTTTATAGTTCGCAGTAAAAGATCTGTCTTCTTGTGTCCGTTCTCATTTCTTACATTTTCACGCTGTAAGTATTTTTAATATCTTGTATCCACTGTCGTTTGTTATCGGACTCTTCTATTTCCATGGAAAATGCATCTATTACCGATCCAGAAAGTTACAGACAAAGAAAAGCTAGAATGTCAGGTATACACAGCCCCATTATTTCCGACAGTAACATAAACGACAAACGAAAGGGTCTCCAATGTCAAGTGGCCAAGCCATTAAAATAAAAAAATTATTTAAAAATTTTTTTTTTTAATCGCAAGGCCAAACAACAAGAACAATAAAAGAATAAGTACCAAAAAGAGAAGCTTTTTAAGGAAAAAGGAATCAATTTAATTGCATTAAAGCTTGTCCCATGGGGCTTGTATTCATTACCTGTGTTCACACACATGATGGAGCTTCCACTGGCCAGACTGACGTGTATATTTTCCCGTGATGTTTCAGCTAAGTGAATTTGTGTATTTTTGTTAGTAATTGTAACATTGTCGATTCGTGTAATATGTTGGTGAAATGTTTTTTAGCCGCAACGTTCTCTTGTCGTGTGCAATTGGGACAGTGTAAAGCTAACTACCTCTGCTTTTCGTCTGGTCTGATATTTCATGACATGTGGGTAGAAATATCAATTCAGATCGACTAGCTGCCTGCTGACAGCACTGCACAAAATACAATCTCGGTAGCTCCAGCAACAATTTGGAGGGATCTTAAAAAAAAAAAAAAAAATTTTTGACCACGAGAATCAGTTCAGAAAAGAATTCAAAGCCTCGAAAACGAAACACGAATGATTTAAAAACTTTGCCCGGAAACTCGCAGAGTTAAGAACAATGACCAAATGGAAAACATAACTTGTATGTAGTTCTTACAAACAGAGGCTGCCAATGATATCTACACTGCTGACCTACTCTCTATCTCTCTTTGTCTCTCTCTCTCTCTCTCTCTCTCTGTCTGTCTCTCTGCCTCTCTCTGTTTCTCTCACTCTCTGTCTCTCTGTGTCTCACTCTCTTTATATCTCTCTCTCTGTGTCTCTCTGCCTCTCTCTCTGTTTCTCTCTGTCTCTCTCTGTCTCTATCTGTCTCTCTCTGTGTCTGTCTCTCTGCCTCTCTCTGTCTGTCTCTCTGTCTCTCTCCCTTTCTCTCTCTGTGTCTCTCTCTGTCTCACTCTCTTTCTCTCTCTCTGTGTCTCTCTCTGTCTCTCTCCCTGTCTGTCTTTCTCTCTGTCTCTCTCTCTCTCTGTCTTCTCTCTGTCCTCTGTCTGTTTATCTCTGTCTCTGTCTCTATCTCTCTCTGTCTCTCTCTGTCTCTCTCTCTGTCTCTCTTTGTCTCTCTCTCTGTCTGTCTCTGTCTCTCTGTCTGTCTCTCTGTCTGTCTCTCTGTCTGTCTCTCTGTCTCTCTCTCTGTCTCTATCTCTCTCTGTCTCTCTCTGTCTCTCTCTCTCTTTGTCTTTCTCTGTCTCTCTCTGTGTCTCTCTCTCTTTTTGTCTCTCTCTCTGTCTCTCTGTCTGTCTGTCTCTCTGTCTGTCTCTGTGTGTGTGTGTCTCTCTCTCTCTCTCTCTCTCTCTCTCTCTCTCTCTACATGGTGCTGATCTATTCTCCACGTACAAATCTATGTGTAACAGACTGCCGCTCTGATGTTGTTCAGGCTGTGGATGATGAACTTCCAACAGCCACAGGTGTTCCAGGAGGAGTCGAACCCAGCTTCGTTCTCTCCACACTTTCTCACCAGGTAAGGCAATTTCTTCTTCCCATCACCAGCTTCCTTCTCTCCACACTTTCTCACCAGGTAAGGCAATCTCTTCTTCCCATCACCAGCTTCCTTTACTCCACACTTTCTCACCAGGTAAGGCAATCTCTTCTTCCCATCACCAGCTTCGTTCTCTCCACACTCACTTTCTCACCAGGTAAGGCAATCTCTTCTTCCCATCACCAGCTTCCTTCTCTCCACACTTTCTCACCAGGTAAGGCAATCTCTTCTTCCCATCACCAGCTTCCTTTTCTCCACACTTTCTCACCAGGTAAGGCAATCTCTTCTTCCCATCACCAGCTTCTTTCTCTCCACACTTTCTCACCAGGTAAGGCAATCTCTTCTTCCCATCACCAGCTTCTTTCTCTCCACACTTTCTCACCAGGTAAGGCAATCTCTTCTTCCCATCACCAGCTTCTTTCTCTCCACACTTTCTCACCAGGTAAGGCAATCTCTTCTTCCCATCACCAGCTTCCTTCTCTCCACACTTACTCACCAGGTAAGGCAATCTCTTCTTCCCATCACCCTTGTCAACAGATCCATAAAAACTAAAATGGCAGATTGTTACTGCTCATACACTAGATAGGGTTAGAAATGTGATTGTACATTATGTCGTAGTTTTAGTTAAGGTTATGAGGCTTAATGATACCTCAATTCTAATTAAGGCCATGCAGTTTGATGGTTCCCTAGGTCTTAGTTTTAGGTAAATTCCCTGGTGTGATGATACACTAGGTCTTACTTTTAGTTAAGGTCATGTGATCTGATGGTATACTAGATCATTTTCAAATTAGGTCAAGTAATTTGATGATAATCTACACGTTGAAGCTGAGCTGTTGTAATTTTTTGACACACTAATCCAATTCCCGTGCTCACAGTGGAACAGATTTAGTCCAAACAGCTTTCTTTAAACCTATTTTAGAACTGACAGATGACCATCAAATTCTCTTCGCTGCAATGAACAGTCAATCTCAGCTCCTAATTTTATTCAACATCTGATAACGAAGACTGAGACTGTAGTGATCTGCGTCAAGTGCTATGATAATTTAGGATAACCAATAATATAAGTACAATTCACACAACACGAGGGAGCTGCTGTAGCAGACGCTTGTCTGCGGATCCAGAGGTCGTGGGTTCATGTCACATAATGCTGGTGTCACGTGCCTTTGTTAGGGTTTCTCCTAATGAAGCAAAAGGCACTCTGAAGTAGTTTTAGTGTTAAGATGTTGGCTCGAAATGGTCTAGACGGAATCCCACAGCTCCAATGAACATCCAACCTACTTCAGGGGTGAGACGACTCAAATTATGGTACTACAGAATACATAATTCATAGGACTTCTTTACTACTTTTAAAGCCCCCAGATTAGACAGTACTCCTATGCTAGTCAAATTAACACAGTATAACATGAAGCATAACATTACTATAGATACTACTGACAACTCAAGAACAGGGAAGGATGAACACTAACCACTGAATATGAAATAACAAAACATCAGGTAATCAGTGCAACCCATGTAGAAAAAAACAAGAATTCAACAAAATCAATCAAACCAGCTAAGGGAGCAAAGAATAGTGCTAGGATACTGATCTTCGACTGGGCCTCCAGATTTTACTAACATCCTATGACAAAAAGAAAAACCAGAGTTAGCAATCACCCAACACTATACCATGTTCACCCCCTATCCTTGCATTCACATAGTAATGACTCAGACGTCTGTGCTAGGCTTTTATACACTGTATAAGCCTGCAACAATCCCAGGATTACCATTGACAGCTGTGAGGTTAGAAAGAATCGAAGGTCTGTCCAGGGCTGCTCTCCAGTGACAGCGATAGTCTGCTTATGCCAACTTATAGGGGGATAACACCATTCCTTTAACATAATAGGATACTTATACTCACACAAGTATACCACGAATACAGGAATATAGATGTGTGAAACATGCACGAGCCACACAAACACGAGACAGCTATCTTTCTTGCTAACATTGGGTTTACATTTTGGACAAGGCAGGGCGGACGTGGCGTCACACATGTACTGAGCTAGCTGGACCTCAGCTGAATATCGATCCAGATACTCCCCTGGTGTCTATAACCATTAAATATGAACAATCATATTGTTAAATAAATACATATCATTCAAGCTGTCTGGAACCCATTAAAGGAGACAGAGGAGAGCATTTTCCTCGGTTTGTGGGGGAACGCTTTGGACAAGTACCATTCTGCACTTAAAATGGTGGGACAGCTAGGTCCCGTCACTTCACATAGCCACCGGTGTCCTATACTCAGCAGCAGGGCCTAATGTCTGTGCTCATAAACTATAATGTACTTACCCATGCTCATGGGCGTTACTTGATGAATCGGTGATTTAAGCGGAGGTAAGCAAGTAGACTAAAAAGCAGCACCCGTGTGTTCACTCTCGGGAAGCTCAGTCAAAACTGAGTTCAAACTAAGCGTCTCTTCCGATAGAGGCGGGAGGGGAATCATCCGCGTCAAAAGCAGTATTTAGGTCATTCCCATGAGCATTATGAAAGAATTGAGTACTTAACCCGTTATCTTGACACATAAGTACAAACGAAGGACTATATACCTATAGAGGAAAGTCTAAGATTTGAAAATGCCTAATTTACATAGAAGTGACAAGATGTGGGCAGGTTCAAGACGAGAGGGGTGTGGCTGTCATGCTACCGTTCAAATCCGGAGAGTGTTGGACATTTCTTCAAAAATGACCTTGGCTCTCAGGTCATTCCAGCCTTAATAAGTACCAGGTACAGCACTGTGAAGTCATGTTCACCAATTCACACACCGAGTGCTATTGCTTTTGAAATATAGGTCTAGTCATATATTCCCTATAAGCCGCGGCGAGCGTCTAGCCACGGTGACTCCCGTAGGCATTCATGGCCCTGGATGTTTCATCTATCCGTCGCTTGTGTTGGTGACCTCTTATCTGCTTCCATTGTGTCTAAGTGACAAGGTTCTCCGTAGTGCACTAACTTGCAGCAGACTTGACACATGTCCGAAACATCTCATTTCATGTCTTCTGACGTAGTTTAGCAATGGTTACGGTTCCGTCGCAACTTGTTACCTGATATTGTCATTTCTGACCCTGCCCCCCCCCCCCCCCTTTTCCACCCCCCACCCCCCATAAAACGGCATTTAGGATTTGTCGTAAATAATTTTATTTATGACACAATGACTTGCTTAAACATTATAATACGTCTTTTTTGTCCGACCTTGAACAGAATGTTGACTTTCCTCTTCCTGCCGACCTTTAACCTTTGGCTGCTGCTGTGCCCCAGCAAGCTGAGCTATGATTGGACGGGAGCAAGCATCCCGTTGGTGAACTCTCCAGCAGATTCTCGCAATATTGTCTCAGTGCTGGTGTACACAGGTCTGGTTCTTCTAGTGGTCAGATGCCTACAACAAGAGTGTCGACAGGTGAGTGCAGTCTCTATAACCACAACTGTTGGATATGCTTTGAACAAGCTTTATATCATTAGATCATGCGGAGATATGATGAGAATCCACTGGGCAGACATAAATCGTAATGATGATGTCTTGAAAGAAGCCGATTCACGGCGATCAGTGCACATCATGGATGTCCACATTAAAAAGAGACAATGTAGATGCTTTGATCATGCCGCACCTCTAGCTTTTCAAGCAACAGCTTACCATCATGTGGTGCCGAATCAGCTAATCTGTTTGCTTGTTCCTTACCCAACACATCTGTATACCCTGGACAAAATATCCAAAGGACTCCAACCAGGTACATGTGAAGCGATGTTTGTCACTTTGCACGAAGAAAACCTTTCCCCGCCTTTCTTAGCATGCTGTGCAGGAACAGACAAACTCAATAGCCCACACAGGTCAACAATGTTTTCTAATGTAAAAAAAAACAACCTTTTCTTGCCACTGACGCTGGGCGCACGTGAGACCAGACGAATAATTCTGTAGACAAATCTCCATTGTGGACTGGTCAACATCACGCCCGCCGCTTATCATCATCATTGTCATCATCATCTTCATCATCATCAGTATCATCATCTTTATCCTCCTCCTCCTCATCATCAGTAGCAAGTGTCTTGTCCACTGGAATGGGCGATCATGCCTCTCCACGATCTTCAACAGCATGTGTGGGTTCATGTGCTGCTGACAATCCTCTATATCATGACAAACTGCTGTCATGAATCTTCTGGCGTTGTTTTCCCTCTGTCTCTCTTTCAAAAATTTGTTTTCAGGTCACAACATATTGCAGTTTCCTCTTCCTCAGAACACGACTGAAAAAAAAAATGACAACTGTCTCTTTCTGATGTTTGTGATAAGTTGTCTTCGAACCCTCGCCTCTTTCAAAACACCTGGGTTACTCTTTTCGGCTGTCCATTGAATTCTAAGCATTTTTCTGTCCAAACACAACTCCAAGGCCTCAAGAAATTGATTGGCTTGTTTACTCATTGTCCTCTTGGCGCTAGAACAAAGGTATCAAAAACACGGAACTATATACGTGACAGGAGTGACTACTAACAAAGGGATAGTAGTGTTGGTCGATTAATTATAGATAATGTTAATTAGCTCTTTGGGTATTCATATACTTGCTCAGGAGATAGTGGAGACTCGAGCGTTAACTAGTGTTGGTAATGTGTCTGTGACTAGGGTCAGAGCGAGACAAGGCGGCCAACCAGCCAAACAGCCACACTCATGTCTGTAGCGTTGATGGTCATTCCGTTCTTACCAGCCTCAAACCTGTTCTTTAGGGTTGGCTTTGTGGTGGCTGAGAGGGTGCTCTACATACCCAGGTAAGTGTAACGGGTTCGAAGCTTCTGTCAGGTGTGTTCTCTCTGTAAGCTGACACTTCTCATTCTGTCTTTGTCTTATTTTCTCTCCTGTGTATTATTTTATCTTGTTTTCTTAAATTTATTTTCCTTTATGCCTACATGCATACCTACATACCTACATACTTACCTATCTACCTATCTGTCTACTTGCTCACCCTTCTTTTTCACTTTCTTTTTATCTTTCTTACTTTCTTTTGTCTGTTTTTCTTTCATTATTTTTTATTTCTTTTCTTTTCTTTCTTTCTTAAAAATCTTTGGATCTTCCCTTCAGTAGACTTTTTGTTAAATATTTTCATCCATCATTTTTTTGGGTATGCAGGATATTTATCATTCTTTCCATCAATATTTTTCATCTATGTTTACATTCCTGTAAAAAAATTTTTTTTTTTTTTAATTTGAACATTTCTTTCTTTAAACACCTTCTTTCTTTCTTTCTTTCTTTCTTTCTTTCTTTCTTTCTTTCTTTCTTTCTTTCTTTCTTTCTTTCTTTCTTTCTTTCTTTCTTTCTTTCTTTCTTTCTTTCTTTCTTTCTTTCTTTCTTTCTTTCTTTCTTTCTTTAAACACCTTCTTTCTTTCTTTCTTTCTTTCTTTCTTTCTTTCTTTCTTTCTTTCTTTCTTTCTTTCTTTCTTTTCTTTCTTTCTTTTCTTTCTTTCTTTCTTTTCTTTTCTTCTTTCTTTTCTTTCTTTTTTCTTTCTTTTTCTTTCTTTCTTTCTTTCTTTCTTTCTTTCTTTCTTTCTTTCTTTAAACACCTTCTTTCTT